ATTTAGCTAATTTTTTTTTTTTTTTTTTTTTCTGTTTTACTCGTTTGGCGTAGATGATATTCGCTTCATTTTTAGTTGATATGATTTCAGGTATATTAAGTTGTTTATTGAAGAGTGCAGCTTCTTTGCTGATGGAGTGGATTTAATGTTTTACTATTTGAAGGAGAAGATCATTGTTTTTTTGTGAGATATGCTTTCACCCGATTGCTGTATTTTTTAAAGTTAATTCAAGTTGGATTAGACCTCAAACTCCTAAAGATCTTGGCACATACAGCCTATCAACATTTGATTTCGGGTGGTGCCACCTCATTTGGGTAAGCATTTTTCTGATCTGTGCATACAATCTTTTAATATCATTCAACGTCCATTTAATAATGTTGAAGCTGTATGTTACTACCGTTATAGATAAGGTGTTGATAGCCTTCATTTTTTTTGTAGAGTAGTTTCACAGTGGAGGCTTGTATTTCACTAAGTCGGTCATAGGTTCGACGTACAAAACGTTAGGAACTTGAAATAATAGTTAATGACGCAGCAATCTAGTTGTGGTGGTTGATACTTTAATGTCCGAAATTGACTGACACACCAATTCCACTGAGCCCCCTGGCGACTTCTACTACTACTACTTATTATGTGTGGGAGAGTCTATTAACAATAGAATAGGTATGTTTCGGTATAACAATTTTACTGGTCCCATCTTATTCGTTTTCTAGTATCAAACGTACTCTTCTATAATATTGTTTTCGGGTATTTTTAATCATAATTGAATGTTGTATTCCGTCTCCTTCATTAATTTCTAAGTATTTATATGTACCATCTTGGTCTAGTTCCTTAATCTTGTTGTTGATGTCAAGGTCTAAATCTGTAGTTTTTGTTAGTTTATCGCCTTTGAAGATGGCTTTGGCACATTTGTCGATTCCGAAGTCCATCCTATTGTCTTCGCTGAAGGTTTTGACAATGGTGAATAGATTTTCTGCTGATTGTCATCCTTGAAAAACGTTATAAGATCCTCAATATAGAATAAGCGATTCAGTTTGCTATTCTCTGACATGTATCCGTAGCTACTGTCGTTCTGTAGGCAGCTGAGTGGCGCTAATGCAAAGCAGAAATGTAGTGGTGACAATAAATCTCTTTGGAAGATCTCGCTTTTGATGATGATGATTCATCTCGATGTTATTATTATTATTATTATTATTATTATTATTATTATTATTCTGTATACTCATTTCCTTCCGTGTCCCAACCAAAGATCTAAGGTCAGAAATGGCACCATAATATTTTTCACTAAACATTTTTGTTTAAGAAAAAGAAAAACAGATAGACGATCTAAGATAACATACATGTTACATAGATAAACCCCTTCCTAAGATATGAGCTGTACATAACAAAAAATATTGATGTTCTCATATGTCATATTTGTTTAAATTTCCACTTCAAGATCCTTGTATTTTCATAGGTTTTTGAAGATCTTCAAAGATACATTACAATCTGCAGGAACTGGCATGTTAATAAGAAAGCACATTCTCTTTGTGTGAAATTTGATCACAACGTTTGGGCTATTAGCTTTGATTGTTCTATCTGTGTATATTGTAATGTCCATATAACATTGTTACAGGTCCCATATTTGTAACCAGATCTGGGTGGTGTTCATACCAGTTTCTTAGAGTTTCGTTCTCTAAAAGTTGCAGATGTTCCAGTGCAGCTATTGGCTCACTCTATTACTATTATTTCTTTGGAATCCTTTTGCATACACATTTTACCAACTAGAGACCTAAGGTCAGAAATGCATTCATGACATTTTCTACTGATCATATTTATAAAAAGCAAAACAAACCAGAAAACCCCTAAGATCACAGACATTGTAAATAGATAAAACACTTCTTCTTCTTCTTCTTCTTCTTCTTCTTATTATTATTATTATTATTATTATTATTATTATATTTTAAAATGCTGTCTGCTGTGGTGAAGTATGTGTTGGATGTGGATCTTTTTAACAACATCGTAAGAGCTTTATATATTAAGAGTCTTTCGTTACAGTAATGCTGTGTCATAGTATAATGTTATCTACTAATGTTTTTCTCATGTTAATAGTTATATTTTTGTAAGGTTTTGACCGATATGTGATCCAACTATTTCCCAGGTTAACCTACAAGAGAATATGATTGCTGTACAACCAATATAATTTTTTTCCTTATTAATGGTTTGAATGAAATCCTGTGCAATGGAAAATTAATAAACAATGTTTTACATAGGATTGCCTTTTGAAATCTGGCGATATTAGTGATATTTAGGTTAGATTTTTGAAAGTTTTTACAATAAATCTTAAGGATTTATTACAATTCTTTATGGGATATATATCAATGAATGATATATTTAATGTATTTTTCATCTTGTTTCTAATTAGGGTGCATATGGTTACTATAAAATAAATTAATGATATTATAACATAATCCGACCATTTATCAAGTATACATAAAATATATATATACAGAGTGACCCCAAAAAATGGGAACTTTTTAACAATCCAATAAAACCAAGTGAGATGGAAGAAAAATATTTTATTCATAGTAATTGAAACCTTAAAACATGCCATTTAAGAAACAATGATGGAATTTCCATTTCTTTTAAATTACATTCTGTAGATAGCCTCCTCCTGTACGAATGCATTCATGAAATCTGCTGTTGAGATTCATCATTGACTACTGCAACATCTCAGCTGGGATAATGTGAATTTCATCTTGAATTCCAAATGGCGAAATGTTTACTTGCTCAAGGTCACTCTCTCGCAGTCTTGCCACTTGCTCATGTCTGGCAATACGCACTTATAATTACGCACAATAATTCCCTTTCTTGGGGGTCACCCTGTATATATATATATATATATATATATATATATATATATATATATATATCTTCATCTTCAGACATTTTAACCATTCTAAATTTTTAATATTTATCAGCTTTTGCAACGCGCTTTCGTCACCTCGTAGGACGAATGTGGCTGCTTGACATTAGCTTTCTGATTATGAGATATGATTTCGAATCTCACCATGATCGATTAGTAAATAAGTTAGCATCTTCAAAATATCGTCCTTGGAGAGGATTCCTGAAAGGGCATCGTTGGAATATGTGCCTGAAAGCTAAACATTTTTAGTGCAATTGGATAGAGGAAACACTTCGGAAGCATTCGTTTTCTATGCTAATTGGGTAGGTAGAGATTTTTTATCCTAGATTGGTCATCTATCAAGGGATGCTTATTCGATAAAAAAAGCAATCCTCCAGTTGCCTGGAGAGATGCGTCGACCTGCAAGAAAAAACAAAAACAAAAAACAAAAGAAAAATGTATGTATAATGAATTAAATTCTTACTTGTGTTGCTCAGTCTGCTGCAGGTGGAAGTGATTTCTTTTAAATCAGGTTTTCTATAGATGAAAAATTGATCCGATTCATTTTCATACCTTATTACAAATTTTGTAGAGATTCTGAATAAAAAAAAATGATAATACGAGGTGATCCGCAAAATGCTTTTAGTCATGGGATCTTTTTTTTGTTTTTCGCTTTTCTACTTTTGTTGCTTTTTTGAAAGAAAAATGACCTACTAGCGGAGAACTGCTAATAGTGATTTCCCAAGGGTAGCTCAGATGTGGCACAAGGCCGAAATTATTGAGCACCCAGTAAGTATTGAACTCACTACTCAGTCGTAATTGGTCTAGCAAGACAAGCTTGCTAACCATTACACCACCTCGAGGTGCCCCGGAAAACGGCTAATATGCAAATTCGACAAAAAAATTTCTTCAAATTCCCGTATTCCTTGTTGAAATCATTGGGGAAATTTCCAGAAGAATCCAGAATGAAAATTCTCTTATATCTAGAATGCAATAATAGGGTGGAATAAATTTTAGCTTGGAATATTCATCCAGAACAGGAAGCTAAGAGATTGAATTAAATGGAGAGGTTGGAATAAAATGATGAAATTTCACCTTGATGGAAGACAGACAAGCTCGGAACACTGTCTTGAATGACATCTAACAAATCTGAAAAATTAAGAAGAGATCATTATAATAATTATAATAATATCCGGAATAAATTTGGCAGCTTATTTACAACAAATGGCATTTCATTTCTGTGAAGATGTTAATGGCTTTCTGTGTATTTCTTCCTAGAATTCATCTGAATCAATTGCTCATGTTATAGGAAACCACGTGAAAGATTCACTAAATTCTTGTCGTAAAAATATGTCGGTTTTAATGAAGAAGATACTTACGTGAGTGGAACGGCGTTGTCGACCGGGTAATCCTAACGTCAGCATTCTCCTCTGCTTTAGTAGCCTTCCATTTGGATTGGCGGAAGAGGTGAGGGCAGAGGTATGTTACAAAACTGTGTTCACATTATACTCACCACCTTTTTGGCCGAGAGCGAAACAAGTTGTTATTACTTGTTCCTGTCTGTTATTACTGTGTTTACCTGATCCTAGCGGAGAGGATCGTAAAGGAAGGACGTTTTCTTTTGCAACCCGGTCATTCATCAACCAACTCCACGCTGGTCTTTTCAGCCGAATTCATTTTCGACACATAATAATGAAAATTATGTAACAATTTTTCATTGTAGCTGTTTTTCTGTTTTAATATACTCTTTCTTGATTGGTTTCAATGAAGTAACTGCAAGATTTACACGAAGTTTTTGAAGGTTGACTGGCATTCTCGCTTATTCAGAATCTATCACATATTTAAAAAATTCTTTTTTCCTAAATGTAAATGTATTTATTCAAATTTACTTATATTTAATCTTTATATTTCGCGGATAAACATTTTTGAATAGACATCTATGTTATTTAAAGAGGGAAGTTAATATCTACTGGGCTAGACATTTACAATCTTAAATAAGATACCTTTCGAATGGATTAGAATTTGCATTTTCCTTTTAATCTAGAAGACCAATTTCAAACCAATCGTGCCTTATCTGCAATGAATTAGAAGCCATTACAGAAGTGACAGTCTCAATTAACGTAGAAAAAAAACGAGGATTTCTCGTTAGGACATTTCAAAGTCTATATAGGCTAACTTTATTTTTTTACACGAAAAGTAAACGATATAAATATTAAGCAATAAATGTGTTTCTAGTTTGATATAATTACTTATTACTATAAAAGTTAATGACTACCGGCATAGCGATAGAAAATATTAATAATGAAAATAAGTGCATTCGAATCTATCTATCTATCTATCTATCTATCTATCTATCTATCTGTTCATTATCTATCTATCTATCTCAATCTGTTCATCATCTATCTATCTATCTATCTATCTATCTATCTATCTGTTGTGGTAGGATCCACCTAATTTGCATATTGGAGTACCGACCATATAAATATGGTTGGTACCGGGAAGACGGGGAAGGAATCAAGAGATTCAATCCAGAGACTCTGCCCGACTGCGACTAAGTCAACACATTCTCCAGGAACGGTCTTCCCAGGAATATACAAAAGACTATATGTGAATATTCTGTACACTTTCTTGCTTCAATACATTTTGTTCTAAGTACATTTTGTGTTGTATTATTATTCCATGCATTAGTCAAGTTTCAACACTATCTATCTATCTATCTATCTATCTATCTATCTATCTATCTATCTATCTATCTATCCCTGATGATTATGGACTCTCCTGTCGATTTTTACTTTTTGTTATCTCTCCTAAAACCGGTTTTGTCATCCATTTATACAAGTTCGCTAGGTAGGTTATACACTTTTATTGATAACAGTGTATACAAAAAAAAATTGTACTTTTAGGGAGATATGTTTTTTGCTGAAATAGAAAAATGACCCGATAAATTCGTCTTTTATTTGTCGTGTCCCTTTAGGACGTAGGCAATCATGGCCCTCAATATCTTCCTGTTCCTTGTAGAGCTTAATAAGTATTGTCTTTTTTACTATTTCTCTTAAACTCTCTTCCACCATCCATTTACTCAAACTTGTTTCGCACTGCTTTCCGCTACATCTGCATTTTTCCATTTTCTCTAACGCTTCGTCTTTGGTTACATATTCGGTGCATATTATTCTCAGCATCCTTCTGTAGAACAAATTTTCTGTCACCTCAAGTTTCTTCTTTATCTGCATGGATTGACTGATTCGTTTTCTACGGCTAATCAACCCTTTGCAAATGATTTAACTCCAGAGAATTTTTTCATTGTAAGAATTTTTTTAGATAATAATGGCTTAGTGATACAAGTCTTACTAATTAACCCATAGCTGTGGGAGAAGAAGTAGTTTCATACTCTTCCCAAGATTATTTGCGCGTAGGGACTATAATTAACCTAACGGGAACTGGAACTCGGCTCTCCGATTAAAAATTCCGAGTTGTTATCCGGTACACCTCCTGCACATCCAAACATACAACACCTGGTTTTCACAAGTGGTTACCCATCTAGGTACTGACAAAGCTTCACGTTGCTTAACTTCTGTGATTATACGGGAACCTGTTTTAAAGTGACGGGGCCGTAATCCTGTGCGGAGAGGATCCAGTATTTATTGGCATATAGGAAACATCATCGTGTTCTATCAAGAAGGGGTTAGTTATATTTACTATAGATAGCTTAATACGAAGAAAACCAAACAAATTATGTAGCGAATATTCGTATTGTTTCTTCTGTCCTTATCTTTGCTTCTTGGAATTGACCTCTGACATTTATAATCGTTTTTAGTGTTATAATCTACAAAATAGTAACAGTTTGATTCAATGTCTTTCTCAGTTTTCTTTTTTTTTATTTTAAATATTATTTTTTCTAGATTTTCATTCTCTTTTCATTGTTATCGTTACCACGCTTGTTCTAACTACATTTGTAGCTTTTATTGTTTGTTCCATTCACTCATTTAAAAAAAAAAAACAAAAAAAAAACTTATTCATTGCCATGACGTGTCATAGTTTGAATTTCAGGGCAGCTCGATATTTTTTGTCTTTCTGTTTAGTTCTATCTTTTTCTTTTTTAATTTATTTTATTTTTTTGGTTTTATTTAGCTGGTTAGATATTTTGTTGGAAGTTTAGCTCTTTCAGTTGGAGGTATGGAGTGTCAGTCATTTCTGTCTGTTCTGCCACCCCACCCCGACCCACTTATTGACTTCTGTTCTTTTTCACATCATGAAGATCATCCTGACGTGAAAGATTTATCGTCAGGTTTGGCATAACAATAGCTCCAAAATTTATTTTCTTTTTTTGTTTTTCTTCCTCCTCTTTAGTAAAGTCGTATTTCTTTTTGTCTTCTTTATCTTTCTCACCCACTCTCTTTCTCCTTCTCGCTTTCTCTATCTATCACACACATCGAGCAACCCAACATGTTGATTTTCTTTCTCATAAAATGACCAACAAATATTATCTCTATCTCCTTCTTCGCGTCGCCCGGCTGCCAATCCCTTTGTATTCTTTATTCGTACAATATTTGACAGGATCCATGGTTGATTATGAAATACACAGACAACGTTTACTGAGTGAGACTCTTTGTCTTGCCTGACATATTAGCTTGAATAATAGCCCAAAGAGTATTTTGTAAATATAGCACATCGTGCAGAAAGACAAATAGAGAAAAATTTTCGATGTGCGCATCCAAATTGTTCGCGAAGATAATACAAGAAAAATTAATAATTGCTGATGATTTTCATGTAAATTTGATGTGGCGATAGTTACAATAAATTAACAGTTCTAAGTTGAAGATTTGAAAGCTCCTGAAAATTGTTATTAAGTTTTAGATTCAACATAACAAATATATACATCCGTTCTTAAACTGAATTCCGTAAATACTTGATCGAGAGAGCAGCATATTTAAAAATAGTCTGTCACGTGGTGAAAATTCGGGTTTGAGAATCCTTTGCTCGAAATTCTTGGGATCGGAAGTGCTTCGGTTTTCAGATTTTTTCGGATTTTGGAATACAGGCTTAAGTTTAATTTGTATTAAAAAATTAAAATGGTGCAACTTGGCAATCAAACTTACGCATAAAGACGATGTCCGTTTATATGTCATAACACAGCTTATACATCTAACCTGAAGGTAGTTTTATATAAATAATATATAACCTGAAAACAGTTTTATAGCAAATTTTAAAAATTTTGTGTACACACAGATATGGATATTGACTCTCGTCATGTAATGCTTACATGGATTTTTAAGGGATGGAATTAAGATTTCATGTAAAATTCATATTTTGTATTTTCTGTACGTGCACAAAATAGCATGATCACTGCTTACAAAAAATATATCTACTTCTACATCAGGTGTGAGAAACTGGAGAGAGAGAGGGTACATCATTATCGATGTATATTTAATATATCTGTATATATATATATATATTATAATTATTTTTAAAAAAATATGATTCCTTCGCCAAGATAATCTAATGTTTATTTTCAAGTCAGGAGGATAATCTTTGCTAAAGCGGAATACAAGTTTACTAAATCCGGTTTTCCTAACCTGGGTTGATGTTGGACTAACCTAAGTTTACCTAACACGCGAAATCAACTTTACTTTTTAAAAAATAATTATAATTTAAGCTCTACTTCTGTATGGAGCATTGTTTTTTTTTTTTGTTTGTTTTTTTTTTAAATAAAAACAAAAATAATAAAGAACTCTGGATTATTTACAAGGTTTCAATAGATGAGCATTAGCAAGGAGCCAGCAAATTGTTCTAGCAATGACCAGTTATACTACGATCTTCACCATCGGCGGGCACACATATCTATATTGTATTACTTATTTATAGTTTAGATAGTTTTCTAAATGACGTTAAAAGTCTCTACCTGGACCCAGGTAAGACATAAAATCGTCAAATGTTTATTTTCTAATTAGAAATTCTCAGATAGAAAGCGTGAGGCAATACAATCTTACTATGCCCATTTCAACTAATGTGTTTTAAGCAAGACAAAGCTAATCTTATTTAACTCTCAATAACATTTCACCACTCCTTCCTAATGCAGTTTGGGCGGGGTTAGCTAATCTGCTAACATGTTTTTAAATATAGAAAATATGTGCATTTCCAGAGCAGGCATGCATAATTTCCGTTCATTGTCGCGTATTTTATTTCATTTTATTTTATTCGGTCAAGTTAGCTGGGACATTCATTAGTCTATCACGCTGAGCATTACTATCCTGCATCAAGGTCGGAAGGTCATTAGTAAAGCATTCTGTGTCATAACATACCTACTCAATGGCCACCAACTCGATTTTCTGCATGGTTCTATGTTCAGATCACACGCGAGTTCATATTTTGCCCGACAACAGTGTCCTGCAAAGCGGTGAGTACGATCCCCATAGGGTGCCATATTATCCTATCTATTCGCATGTATTAAGCTAAGCTTAATAAATGCATACCACACTACAACATAATAAACATTTATTAAGCGTAGCTTAATATATGGGAAAGGGTATGATAATGTGTCACTCTTCTGGAATCCAAATCACTATATAATAGTATTTGCTTTTGTCAATAACGTTATAAATATTATACTACAGGATATCGCCCTCCTGATGGCTACATACAATAGCTATTCAAAAATTAATTTCCATTCCTCATTAATTACTACTGGTTTTATAGCAGAAGCACACAAAGTATAGGAAGATGTACACAAGACATTCTGAATTTCAAATCTTTTCCTTAGCTCAGTTTCCATAGTTCTATTTTGTATAGTAGATAAGGACATTGAACATAGAATAATCTCTTCTAGTGATAGTTTCACACAACAGCGCCAATTGCTACAAAAACAAAAAAAGTAAAAATTAGAGTCATGTACTTAAATATTCTTGTCAGATCAAGAAATTCATACAAATGTCAAGCATAGCATCAAACCACTTTTTGAAATATCTAAACTGTCATCTGTATATGAGCACTGTCTCAGATCAATTGTTAAAAATGGCATCGAGAGAGTGAAAACAGAGAGTGAATACCGCTACACAATCACAAAGAAATGTACGAGAAAATATAAACGACATAACTTGAGGACTTCCAACAACAGCAACAACTAAAATGGATAGCACATGTAACTCGAAGAGAAAATAATGAAATAATCAAGATGTTAACGTTCCACCCAACGTCAAACAAAAGCTTAGGAAAAAAGAGCCCTATCAATGATGGAAAGAACGATGACTTGAAAAACCTATTGTTCAAGGGAAATCCTTGATAAATTTCAACCGAAAGTAGCACTTGCTGCTCGGTAAATGAATGCTGTATATTTCTTTATAAGAAAACTGTTAATATTACTATTAACATTTTCGGTATTCAACTCTTGAATTGTATGCACGCTTTGTCGAAGCTCCTTGGATACTTTCTTAGATATATGCTCATTGTCTATTTCACCCTATCATCCTCGGATAACCACTGTCCCCTGATTGCTATTTATTTTCTTTTCGATTTTAAACAGCAACCGTGAACATCATGGAATTCGTCAGCATTTTGGGAAACCAGTTTTCAAAGACCTTTCAGCAATCAAGAGGGTTTCCTGAAATGCTGTGGGTCATGTCAATAAAGTCACTTTATCCTTTCTCTCGACGATTGTCATTAACATTACAGACTCATTTTTTTTCTTTTATGCTTACATCAAAGGCGGCCTTTCTAAATACATCTACTATCCTCCTGTGAATCTTTCCAGCATTTTCCACTTCGCAAAACAGGTATTATATGACAGCATATACATTTTTCCAGCAAAGACGTTCCGAATGACTATTATGAAATGATTTCTTCACAAATTCTTATACATGGCTGCCAGAGAATTTATAATTTATAGCATAAAAAATAAAATCTAATACATTTAAAATTAAAGCAGTCGTTAATTTTTGCCCTACTCAAGTATACTACTCGTAATATTTTTAAATGTGGAGAGTTACTTGAAGCCAGTTTTTTTCTCCTAGTTACTTGACAAAAGATATTCTCAAAACAAGAAGTGAAATTATTTATTACCGTATGCGATATTTGCCATTAATGCAAATGTCGCACTTTAAAATGTTTTTTTTTAAATCTCTGTGCATTATATATGCGATATTGAGACCTCCCTTAGGCTAATACAATTCTCAGTGATAACTTATGCTATATCTTTAACTCTGGTTGTCAATTCTACTTAGCCTGACACTCTAACAACATTATTTACTTCTAACGACAGTGATAGTATTATTTTTATTATTACCAATATAGTAAAAGGAAATATCGTAACAAAGTCCTGACGACGTTTGTCGATACAAGCTGATCAATCATACCTAAATATGCCTCAACAAACTACTATCACTAACCAACTCTAAATTACAGAAGAATGAGGCGTAACTGAAAGGAAATAGTTGTACAAGTAAAACTATGTTTTGGTCTATATTCCACTGTAGTGACAGCTTAAGTTTTTATAATGTTTTCGGCTTAGTTTTATTTCGTAAAGTTTTATTGTTTGAATCATATAGATTATATTTCATGCAACGGCAACGCCTCTCCTCAGCTGCTCCAAAGAAGACCAAGGTCGTTTCATATGCAACGAAGACGATGGACCCAGGTTTTCTTGGATGCAAAAGGCATTGTGTTCATTGAATAACTTCAAAGGGGAGACAGCCACAATTGAGAGTACTATACACACTCGTTGAGGCATTTTTGTAAGGCTATTAAGAGCAAACTCCCAGGAAAAATAATGAAAGGTTTTTTTTTTGTTTCATCAGTTCAATGCTCCAGAACACAAATCGTTATCTTCAATCGCTGCTGTGCGTGATTGTGGCTTTGAACAGGTTGGTCACACAACTTATTCCCCTGATTCCCCTATCATCTGTGCCCCAAAAATGAAAACCATTTGGATGGGAACAACTATCGGAATATGATGCCATATCTGCTGTTGATGATATTTCTTATCAACAGGATGAGTAGTCTTCTTTGAACAGTCAGTTGTCAATTTACCTGGAAAGAAAAAAAATGCAGTTATTAAACTGAATTTGAAATTAATGCATGCGCGATTTAACAGCTCCAGCATAATTCCTTCAGAGTCAACCTATGTATTTTCCGGCTTCCCTCGTATGGTAGACACGAATCGAATTATTCATTACAGTTTGAGACTCCACGGAGAAAGAGAGTAACAACACACTCCCATTCCTGGATGTTCTAATATCTCGAACAGAGTATGGGTTCAAGACATCCGTATACCGTAAATCGATATTCTCCGGACAGTACCTCAATTTCAACTCCTACCATCTATACAGCGTAAAGAAAGGGATCGTCCGCTGCTTACAACATCGAGCAAAAGTCATAGGTAGCGACCCAGAGACATTATATAAAGAATTAGTCAGTATGAGTACTACCGTGGGTACATGGCAGCAGCCCCCAAAAAACTGGGATAGGCGGGTACAAGAGGGGGAGGGCGACAACACTCAGAAAGCAGTCTGCCTGCTTTATGTGAAGGGGTTATCAGAGAAAATACGAAGGATCTGCGGTCCATATAACATCAGGACAATCTTTAAAAGCTGGACGACACTTCGCAGATATCTCTCCCGAGTAAGACCCC